TAAATTAAAGAATATATTGCAGATTTAATTGAGATTTATATAATAATGCGTTACGGTCGAACAACTAGATGTCGACCTAGTCAACTAGTAACGACCTTATATGTGTTGTCAAATTTATCTACATATTTATTGTGACATCAAATGTCCATAGCTTCAATTTTCGATCACCTCCCAAAGTGCTAAGATTGCGTTCAAATAATTTTGGGAGTAACAACTCGATCGTTAACAGTTATCGTTAAGGCATCTGTATTCTAATCGGCAATTTCAATATAAAAGGTAAGTCATAAGAAATAGAATACCTTATCACGCTTTAAATATATGACAAAATATACGGAACATGATTTCAATGATTTCAAAAGATGAGCATGACAAGCACAGTTATATTCTATTATAATAGTGTTACTTTTTCAGAGTTATCAAGTTGTCAATAATATTTTTTTTCTAATAGAACTATATCTTTTTATTGTTTTTATTTTTGTATTGCGATTAACATAAAGACAATTTTATCATAATTTTATTTTGTTATTGTAAACGTAGTCTAGAACTTAACGAACCTACGGCATCAACCCGAGTTCCCGAGTTCACCGCGAACATACACACACAATTACACATACTCGCGTCAGTGCAATTGACAATTAAGACACGTCTCACGGTTCATATGACAATTGGTTCGTCTGGGCCCTCTTAAGAACTATATAGCTCGCAGGCCATAAACAGAAGAAAAAGAAAGTACTTGCCGGCAGCAACGGCTACCGAGCATGCATTCGTTTGGCGTCGACCTCAGCACGGTTCGATCGTCGCGAGTCAGACATATAGTTACGTTTATACCCGAGTGCCGAATAAAGAGAGTTTTGTTGAACGTTTACGTTCCCTATCCTGACAACACACCGGCCTTGCTATTGCCTGTTGGTTCCCTGAATAACCTGTGGCCTGGCCGGCCATGACGTAGGAGGAGACCGTGGCTGGAGCACGAACGGTTGCTCAGGGTCTGGAAGCTCTCCGAGTTGAACATGGGGGTCTGCTACAGGCCCTGCAGTCTCAGGATGCGCCAGCCGCTCGGGACAAGGCTAGTCTACTATCTAAAATCATTGAGATGATCGACCTGGGCCTAGGCGAGGCACAGGTGATGCAGGCGCTGGCGAGTCATCTCATATATAGTCTACATGTGTCATAACCAGCGCAAATATATAATTTTTCAAAAATTTTTAAGAAACAAATTCAGAGTTTAAAAAGAGTAATAAAATTTCGAATCGGATATACGAATATAATTTTTTCTTAATGTCGGGTGAATGTCAGATACTAGTGCCGGCTCATTACAAAATAGGCCTATTGGGCCAACGTCGCGCTCCGCGATTACAAAAAGAAAAAAAACTTCTTTATTCTAACTTATCTGTAAAATAAAAAGCGAGTTATTATAAAAAAAAACCTTACCCAGCACCACATACACACATGTCTAAAATCGCATAACCCGGGAAAAAAAATCTCTTAATTATTCATATTAGTTTATATTAGTTTATATTAGTAGATACATGATTATATATGATCGCATATAAGAAATGGAAATATAATTTTGAACAATATTATATGGCTAAATCTTTTTAAGTATAACTTTATGTAGTCATATATGGTTTTATATACTAGTATATTATCATGTGTGATCATGTAAAAGTATACCTTTTTCAAAAAAGATAAAAAAAAGTGCCAAGTACACGCAATGTATTTTGTAAATTAAAAAATCTAACCTAAGTGGTAGCTTTATATCTTTTTCACAAACTTATATTATATCTAACTTAACTCAAGTGACATGTATTTCAAAAAAAAGATGTGAAATCTTTATTTTCTTCTTCACAAAATTATATTACCTAACTTAACTCAAGTGACATGTATCTCAAAAAAAGATGTAAAATCTTTAAATTAAATTGCGCCAATTGTAAAGAAAATATGTATATTGCTTTGAAAGATAATTGTTATGCAACTACTTTAACTCTTAAATGCCCCGTGGGGTCCAGCGGACCCCAGACCCTTTAAAATGAAATGTTTTTAAATGTTCTTGCTAAAAATGGAGCTCATGTTCCCATTGATGATAGTTGAGTGATTGACCTACCCGTTTGTACACTTAGCAGTAGGTACTCAGTTTACTTAATTTTGCTTCCTCATAGAGGAAGCTTTGTGATGGTGAAAAAATTTTTTTTCGAGATTTTGATGGAAATAGGTTTAGAATGTTCTAAAATGTCGAAAAATCGTATTAGTAAAAAATGTCCGGAAGTATGTATGTATGTGTGTGTGTGTGTGTGTGTGTACGGATTTTTTGTACACGCATCTACTTCTACAATTTTTTAGATACCGGGTTGAAATTTGGCACACAAATAGAGTATCATAGAAAGTATGTCCTCCTCAAATTTTATTAAAATCCATAAAACGGTATAGATTTTATGCAGATTTTCATTTTTTTGAAAAATGTGTTTTACGCTGCATCTTTCTCAATATTTGAGATAGCGATCTATTTTTAACTCTATTATATTTTTGAGTTTTTTCTACCCCTATTTCATATATAATTCATTAAAATTTGATTGATTAGATCTCGTGTTACACACATTTGAAATTTCGGAGAATTATACATACAGTTTCTAATTTATATAATAATTGAAATCGAGTTAAAATGTTCATAGCCATAACTAATTAGAGTTTTTAAGTGTTTAAGTAGAAACCTTCGCACACAAAGCTTCCTCTATGAGGAAGCCAACACAAATAAATACTGAAAATTATACATTGAAAAAAATAATGCTTCATCAACTTGCACACTTAATAACTATGAGGAAGCAATGTGCAAGTTTCAACTTGCACACTTTATTTTATACTATGTTGAAATTGAAATTTTAACAATATAAGCATTTTATTCTCTTTTCTAAGCCTTGAACAACATTGAAAAAAATTTTCATAACTAAAGATAAAAAAATCAATGAGTAAGGAGACATTTTTTATGCTGGGGTCTTTTAGACCCCTCATGTCATTTACGAGATTCTTGAGAAGTGTGGCATTTAAGGGTTAAAGAAATAAAACCCAAGTGGTATCTTCGTATTCCTATTCAAGTGTTTTCCTATTTTAAACCCAAGTGATAATAGCTTCTTAATTCTCTTTAACAAATTTTTAATATTACAAAGAATCATTTTAATTACAAAGAATTAAAGAAGTAACAGTACAAAATAAAAATATTTAATTAAAACAAAATAAATAAATTTTTCTTGCAAAAAAACTTGGCGCTGCTAGACTTTGAAATTTAAACATTAGTACTAAGATTTTTGATTGAATAAAAAACAATAAACATAATTTAGGGAAGAATGCGACAGGAGTAAAAAAGCAGTGCCAAGTTTTTTACTTCTTTACTTTACTTTACTTACTTACTTTACACATTAAAATGAATGTAATACGAAATCTAGTCCTGCGCCTGCGCACAAGCCTGCATCGTATCATATTCTCGTTTTACAGCTGTTTATTATAACTGTCAAGGAAAAGGAATAGATTTAACTTCAATTCAAAGAATTTTTGAAGTGATCTGTAGTGTTATTTTAAGAAAATATCTTTTTATTTGGAAGTACCACGCAAGAATTTTCATCGTGTCGTTTTCTCGCTTCTGACGTCACGATTCAACATGACCGCGGCAGGTACCCAGTAGCCATTAAATATATTATAATATTTAAATGGCTCCGAAGATTAAACTTCAGTATGAAGAATAGGGCACGAAAAGCCGTAACAGGATGTTCGTGTTTTATTATTTTTAATAGATATTATCCCTGATAACCGCCAACGATAGAAAACGATAAAAATTTCTTATCGTTTTTAATATGGTTTAGTGAATCGTTTATTTACGATACTCTATCAGAAATTCACGTTACAAAATACTTGGAATCCTATTGTAAATATCTTATCAGCTGCACATCAGTATCTATCGTTTTTAATATGGTTAGTAAATCGTTTATTTATTTACGATACTCTATCAGAAACTCACGTTACAAAATATTTGGAATTCTATTGTAAATATCTTATCAGCTGCACATCGTTTTTAATCGTTTTCTATCGGAGATGGTTACCAAGGATTCCAACCATAGTAAACTGCGCGCCGACAAATCGTCAGACTTGAAACACAATTCTGGTTGAAGTAGTAAAATAGGGCTTTCCGTGCTCTATTCTTCATACTAAATTTTAAATATATTATATTATACAGCAACTGTACTGTTTGTATTATATATATCTTTATACACCTAGTCTAGATATGTACCATGCATTAATATAACATTATGATATGAAAACAGGATATTACATAAAAAAATCACGATCTTAAAAAATGAGCTTAATTTTTTTATGGCCAGTCTACAATGAGTCGTTAGTCGTTAGTCAGATGTCAAAAGAGAGTTGGAAAAAGTCATAAATGTATATCGTAAAGCGATCGGAAGTTTGTAATCGGCGATCCTAAGCGATTGACCAAATACCATCTTTTACGATTACCGATTACAGACTTCCGATTGCCTTACAATACACTTATGACTATTTCTTCCGACATCTGACTAACGACTAACGACTCATTGTAGACTGGCCATTAATAAAATATATTCTTAACGAAGCATTCTGTATGTATACAATGTGTCATACTTGGTTTAATCACAAAATAAGGATTAATTTTATTACTCGAATTTACAAGTGAAATTTATATTATGCGATTAAAAAATTGATACGGATTTATAAAATCATGAAAGATATGCATCATCCATATAATAATATTTTCTTCTATATGACTCGCTGTTAGGCGAATATTAATTTAATAAAAAGAATAATCGTAAATTGTTAGAAGCTCGTCACCGTAGGTGCGGAACGCATGATCGGATTTCGTCGAATTCCTTATCAAATATGCGAGCATATCGTGCGCGAGTCTGCCTTGATTCAACATAACTATTTTATCGCCTGCTGCAAAAACGAGCCGATGATTACGTTTCGCTGACGCGTTTCGAGCGCAGAAACCGTTCCTCGGCCGCGGCTGAGAAATCATCAGTGAGCCCACGGAAGCTACGAGAGCGGCACGTTGAGCGAGAAAATATCAGAGCAATCCGTTGAGATTGTAAATTGAAGCGGTAACTCCAAGGTTCAGAGCAAAAGACGTCAAAGTTTGCGAGTGCAATAAAGTGAGTGAAATCTACCAACGACTATCCGTCTTATTATTTATGACTTTCCTTTTTTTGTATTTGCAGAGTGACTTCGGCCGTCATATCGTGTCCCGAGCCTCGACGCGTACTGAGCGGACCGGCAATACTGATTCGAACATAAATGATACGGTCAATGTATATATATAATGATTTTATAAAATATCAATTTTTCTTTTTAAACGATTATTTTTTTAAATCAAGATTATATAAATATATTTACATTCCGCTTATATATATAGATAGATTTTAAAGAATGTATACTATCATTTACATGTGCAATAATAGCGTTGAATTATCATCGCTTATCGAATATTGATTTTATCTGCTTTAAGGTGACTGCTCGCAACCGAGTATGACATGTCCACCTGGTTTGGAATATCTTTTGAACCTTGATTATCTTCTCGTAAATCAAAAAAATATGGAGGTTAACGGTGAGCACTCAATTTTGTCAAGAAAGCTATAAATATAACACTGTTCTTCTTAAGACCGCGCGTGAATATTATGTAATTCCAGATCCACAAAACTCGAGTGTATTGATTTATTACAATTACTTCCTAAGTAAATAACGAAACCAACATTTACTCCGCGCAATAGTCTCATTATTTGTATTATGATAAACGTATAACTTTGTATGTAACCGTATAATTACAAGATTATTATAATTAATATAAAATTATAATTTTATTATACATAATCGCATTTTCTATTTTATATTATGACAAATATATAAAGAATTACGATTTGATAATTGCGCAGTGGATACTTAATAACTTTCTTATCACTTAATGAATACGATATAATTTTATATATCTAAACTTATTCTTATTTATTTACTATATTAAATTACATATTACGTTACTGTTAAGTACTATTATACATTTTTATACATTTTGTATGTGCTTTAACACTATACGTTATCTTTTTTTTAGGATGGCAAACTAGAAGGAACAAGTATGCTATTACGGATAATAACGGCGAGAGAGTGTTCTACATAGAGCAGGAATTGCGAACCTACTGGGGAACCTGCCTGCGAAAGTATAATTCATTTCACGAATACATCACTTACGACAGAAATCAACAAGAGATTCTTCGTTTGGTTCAACCCTTTGTGACATGCTGTTCTCTTGCGGTAGTTTTGTTATTAGAATTTATTCAGTGTATTCGTTATGGCTATCTCTATGTGGAATCTTAAAAACTAGGAAAAAGATATCTTCCATCGTTGTATTCTTCGAGGAATTTAATTTTAAATTTCTTTTTTAAATAGAAAAATCAATAAGTTGTTCATGACAATTAACTTTTAAAAAAGTATTAACTTTTAAACGCAATAAAAATTAAACATGTAATTGCTAAGTAATTTTATTCGAATTTGTCTCACACGTAACTTTAATTTTATTAAAATTCTAACATTAAATAGGACTGTGGAATAAATCCTTACGTACGTATACGTATATGAGAACAAATCTTAAGCCGGGTCCAGACATGTATCAGATCACCGTATCGTATCATGATATTTTCTTATCAAAATACCAACATACGGATGTTGGTTATAATAATATGCTAAGGCTTTGTTTTCAATTCGTATATTCATATCCCATATCTTACAGATTGAAAACAAGGCCTTAGCATATATATCATTATAATCAACATATCCGTATTTTGATAAGAAAATATCATGATACATTACGGTGATATGATACAAGTCTGGACTCGGCCTTAGTCAATAAAGTTTATTTTTTAAGTTTAATTATAACCAGATTTGATTAGCAGATGACTAAAGTTTTATTGTTCGCAGGTTTTACAAGTGTATTCCGGAACTACTCTATTGGGCAGCGTTACTCAAGAGTGGGGTTCTTGGCGACCGAAGTTTTATATTCGCGACGCATCCGATCAGGTAGTATTGGTGATCAAAGAAGACGCAATTTTTAAGGTATTGCAACATTTCATATCTTACAAAATTTATGTCACTTATGATATTTAATTATCATCATTATCATTATTATTATTACATATATTAACATTTTTTGAATTGTTTTTCTTAATATTATTTTCGAGTTTTCGGAAGATTTTTGAAAGTAAAATACAGAACTGAGAATAAATGATAATAAATAATATAATGTCACAAACTAGGCGTATGTTACTAAACAGCGTTAGGATTTTCCAAATTGTTCGTCAATGATCAAATCCGCAGATCAAATCTCTGGATGAAAAGTATGACATCGGCATGATTCAAAAGCATGGGAGAAGCTTTTCTCAACTGTTCAACCAGTTCCACGTTTCGGATAAATATAACATTAACTTTCCGCACGATCTCGACGTGAAAATAAAGGCTGTACTGCTGGGAGCAACTATTTTAATAGCGAGTATCGTGAAAATACTGTAAACAATCACTTATTTAAGAAAAGAGATACGAAAAAGAAAAGAATGGAAAAAATATTGCTACAAAAAAGAAATATTTTATTTCTAATATTAATATCAGCGTAGTTGATTGATTGTGATTGGTTTTAAATTAAAACTTTTAATTAAGAAATTAAAGTTACATTGCGAAGAAATTTTTAGTATACAATATGTTGACTTATATCTTTTAATATTTTAGGACTTCATTTTTTTCACGAGGCGGAGAAGCAGATAAGTCAATCTGTCTCAATTTAAAAAAAAAAAGACAGAAGCGATTCGTCTATGTCAGCTTTATATGTCCATCAAAAATATTTTGTTATGTATCAAATAAGTACTTTGAAAGATTTTTAACTATGGAATGCAACGCAAACGAAGACGAGCGCTGAGTATGTACACATACTCAGAATGATATCTTTCCAGTCGACATAATTTGTTACTGCCTATATAATTTGGAAATAATCGTTTTTATAACAGATATATAGTAATATTTATATTACAGTTACTTCTATCTGTTGCTTTCCTGTAATGTAAAATAAATGTACGAGTGCTACATATTATACATTTGTACAACAAGTATGTGATGCTTTAATATATAGCCAATATGTAGTGTGTAATTATGGCAACATGACTTAAATATATACATATAATATTCAAATGGCTCCAAAAATTAAAATTCAGTATGAAGAATAGGGCACGGTAAACCCTCTATTTTACTACTTCAACCAGAATTATGTTTCAAGTCTGACTGATTTGTCGGCGCGCAGTTTATTATGGTTGAAATAATATCTGTCTATTAAAAATAATAAAACACGAACATCCTATTACGGTTTTCCGTGCTTTATTCTTTATACTGAATTTTAAATATATTATATTATACAGCAACTGTACTGTTTGTATTATATCTATGTTATACACCCAGTCTAGATATGTACCACGCATTAACATAACATGGATGATATGATAACAAAATATAACATAAAAAAATTACGATCAGCATTCTGTATGTATGCATCATATTTGCTTTAATAATAAAATAAGGATTAATTTTATTATTCAAATTTACAAGTGGAATTTATATTATGCGGTTAAAAAATCGATACGGATTTATAAAACCATAAAAGATATTCATCATCCATAATATAATAATATTTTTTTCTATGTGACTCGCTGTTAGGATATTAATTTAATAAAAAGAATAATCGTGTAAACTGTTAGAAGCTCGTTACTGTAGGTGCGGAATGCATGATCGGATTTCGCCGAATTCCTTATCAAATATGCGAGCATATCGAGCGCGAGTCTGCCTTAATTCAAAACATAGCTATTTCATCGCCTGCTGCAAAGACAAGCCGATGATTACGTTTCGATGACGCGTTTCGAGCGTGGAAACCGTTCCTCGGCCGCGGCCGGAAATAAACCAGCGACTCAGTGAGCCCATGGAAGCTACGAGAGCGGCACGTTGAGCAAGAAAATATCAGAGCAATCCGTTGAGATTGTAAATTGAAGCGGTAACTCCAAGGTTCAGAGCAAAAGACGTCAAATCGCCAAGTTCGCGAGTGCAATAAAGTGAGTAAAATCCACCAATAACTATCCGTCTTATTATTTATGACTTTCCTCTTCTTGTATTTGCGGAGTGACTCCGGCCGTCATATCGTGCCCGCAGAGCGTCGACGCGTACTGAGCGGATTGGCAATACTGATTCGAACATAAATGATACGGTCAATGTATTAAATGATTTTGTAAAATATCAATTTTTCTTTTTAAACGATTATTTTCTTTATCCAAGATTATATAAATATATTTACATTCCGCTTATACATATAGATAGATTTTAAAGAATGTATACTATCATTTACATGTGCAATAAATATATAGCGCGTCGAAAGAGTTTTCGTAAATCTTAATAGATTAAAATTACTTATTCTAAAAAAGAATTATTAGTTCCCTTTATTACTTAAATCTTTTAATTTCAATGAATTTTTTTGTAATAAAGTCACATAGATTCCGTGGTATTCAAGGCTTAAAATGGTGTCTGCTGAGGGTTGAATGCTTTATCGCGAGGGAAATTCAACATTATTTTTCATGAACTTATAAGTTAAGAAAAAATTAATAAGTCAAGTAGGTGCTATAAACGGGGACTACGCGAAATGGAGCCACGCGACAAACAGGGCGAGAAGGTGCGACAACAGGGTGAGAAGGTAGGACAACAGGGCGAGAAGGTGAGACAACGGAGCGATTCTCCTGTGATGAACAGGGTTCCTCCGTGAAAGCTGGTGGAGGCGGTAGAGTGGCGAGTCGCGGAGGACCGGCGTTATCTTGTTCCCGGGGGAATTCTGATCCTTGGGTTTCGACCTCTCTTCGCGCCCGCTTGTTTTGACGACGCCGTTCGTGTCTCGCGGCGTTTCGCGATTTCTTGCGGGTG